GCCTTTGGGCTGGACCAGCGCCCCCTGCCCCAGGCCTCCAGCCGCCGCAAGAAGCTGGAGAGGATGTACAGTGTTGACCGCGTGTCTGGTGAGGGGCTTGGCGCGGGCGCGGGCGCGGGCGAGCTTGGGCGAAGTGCTGGTGCCAGGTCTGCTAGCAGAACCACTGTGAGGCTTGGCCAGGTGGAGGGTGCCAGGTCACAGGCAGGTCACAGCCCGCAGATAGTCCTGTGGCTATGCCCCATGCCCCATGGCCCATGGTTGGCCGTGACCCTGCCAGCGCCAAGTCAATCAAAGAGTGCTTCCCGGAGGAGGGGCATTGGAGGATCTTGAGGGCTGAGGAGGCAGAAAACATGGGCTTAGCTGGAAGGTTGTGCTGCCTCTGCCAGGCCCCAAGCAGGGCTCCCACTTTCTTCAGGACACATATAGCTGTTTGGGGCCTGGCCAGCCCGTGGGCCTCTCCCCAGGTTGGTGGGCTGTGTGGGTGGTGGGGACCCCCAAGGCCGCTGTGTCTTGAAAAGACCTCCCTGGGCCTCAAGCAGCCCTGCCTCCTGGCCCTGAGGCCGCCTCCTGAGGAGCAGAGCTCTCACCAGCTGAGCCGCCACGTCCCCAAGGACACCGCCTGGGCCTGGGCAGGTCCCCTCCACAACTCAAGCTCCTGAGGGACACAGGCTGGGGGTGGGCGAGGGTCAGGGTGAGAGGGCAGAGCTGCTTCAACCTCCCCCCACCTCGTCTGGAAGCTCAGGGTGGACACGTGCCCTCAGGGTCTCTACCTCGCCCTCCTAGAAGGTGGGGGGCGGGGGTCTGGCCAGCTCACACCAGGGCATCGTGGCTGCCGTGGCTGCCGCGAAGGCAAGGGTCCGAGTCCCGGAGGGGCTGCAGCCTTTCCCGGACCTGCCTCTCCTCTTGATGGAGACAAGCCCTTGCCCAGGGCCCCCTGGGGACAGGCTGTGCTTTCATGGGCACGCTCCCCACTGTGGCAGCCAAAGGGAGAGCTGAGCAAGGACAGGCAGACGTCACGAGGCCCCGCGGGGTGGGTGCACGTGGCCGAGCCTGCGCCCGCA